AAAAGTGAGGGCTGATTCATTGCGAGAGTTCAATTTGGGCGTCTTGGAGGCACCTTGCTAGATTAGATATCTTACGACAACAATGTTTTCAAGTAAATGTTATATATTAGGTCATGAATTTAGATCAATTAAAGCTATCCCTGGCGATTCCATGTTGGAGTAGATCACATAATTTATATTGTCAGTAATTGCTGCCCAATATAGTGCCGTATTACCCAGTATACCAGTCGCAGAAACTGGCGCATTGCGGATGAGGATGACATGCATTACCCTTTCGGAACCGCGCATGTCAGTCTCTAAGAGGGACAGCTTGACATCTTCACACAGGGTCAAGTTCGGATTAACCTATTATACACAGAGAAAAAAGAATTGTGCGTGCATACGCAGTAAATGCAGCAGTTGCACACTTTCTCTCTAATCAATAGTTGTGTACATTTTGTTTGCAATCGACTTATAGCAACACTACTCCATAACAGCACACATTTTTATGGCTTCCCTCTCAAAGTGTCAGCCGCTTCGTTCCGGCCTAGGGTAACGTTTCCATATTAGAGCTTGTTTTAACGGTTGTGGTTCCGTTGGAGCATCATGGAAGAGAAATGTTCCTTTCTCTTGTGCAGGCCGCGTTTGGCAAATTTATGAAGGTAATAAAAATCTTGCTGGCTCGTGGGGCACCTGTAAATCTTCCAGGCACATCGATTAGACGTCCTCTCCATGTAGGCATTTGTGATGGCCATGAGTCAGCCATTCGCCTTCTTTCTCGAGGGGCAAATGTTGAAACCGTTGACAGCCAAGGACATGGTCCACTCGTGGTTGCTACTAGAAGGCAAAATGTAAATATGGTCATTGCTCTCAAACGTGCAGGTAAATAGCATTTCCTCCATAGTTTGACCTTCATGCGAATATGTTCTGGCTGATACAACAACTTGAAGCAGGATGCAGACCGACTAGCCCTAATTCTTAAATATTCTTTCTGTTGTCACTTGAAGGACATAATCAATTTATCTGCTTTTTCTTTTAGAAGCAGGCCAAACGCAATACACGAAGTAACTGCCGAGACCGCTTTTTATCTGACTCAAGAACAGGGCTAAGTTGCAATGTCTATTTTTCTACTAAGGGCTCTCACTGACAGAATTTAGTGGATCTCATTCTCCTTGCTGTTTGCTCTCTACAACCTGCTCCTTAACAAACAGGAACCTTGGAATATACCAGCAATTAAGTGCTCTTTAAGGCTATATCCATAATACTTAATTTATTAAATGACCACTAGCCAAGCATTCATGCAAATAACAGTTGGGACAAATAAAGCGGCCGTGTATCAAGAACATCCTACGATTTTGTACAGTCAAATACTGAACTACAGACGACTTCTCTCTGCGATGATATAATATGACTAAGTGTATAAATGTCTTAGTAATATAGCACAGCTGCGTCGTATATCTGTCTAGGTGTACCCTCACCGGCCCTTGATTGATATATGCCTTGCCATGTTTGAAGTTTGATCGCCATGACCGTTTCCGCATGATGAATATAAAACATCGCGTGCATCGTCGATATTCATATAATGAAATAGCTGTTGTGCCAATATTACGCAGTAGGTGGCGGTGAGATAGACCGCATATGAGATAACTCAAGTAAGCAGATCGTTGGTACTCGAGAATCTTGCAACTAGTATTCAACTGTTTCATTTTTAAGCTGAGCGTTTGAAGTGTGATTGTAAATGAATCACAATACTTCCTAATAAAGTTTGTCTTCTAGGACTTATTTACACGTTTGCCGATCTGCTAATTTTGGTATCATAATGCTCATTCCAATATAATAAAATCTAAACTCTTTTTAATTTTTTTCCACTCAATAAATTTGTGCCAAATTTATTCCTCTCTGTGGTTCTTCCTGCTGAGTATGTTATTTGAGGGAATGCAGTCCACGTCGTTTTTGACAAGAAGGTCCCGTGATACTACCAGGCGGCAAGCCGTTATCCAGATTTGACCCCTTTACACGTTTGATTCCATCAAATGACTAATGTGGTAAAATAGGACATTTTTTTCAATCAAAAAGAAAGAAAAATCATAAATTAATGTGAATGTATATCACCTAATTGAGGGCGAAAGTTATGCTGCAGCGAAATGCAAAATTTTTTGGGAGAGTAAAGATTAGACTTTCAGATGTAAAATGTGGTATTTGGGAAGGAGAATGGTGTCCGTGTGTACCGATGATTAAAATACAATGGTTAGCTTATTGTTTTTGAGGAATTACACAATTTCTGGCAGTAAAACAAAGGACTATTTCTTATTTCGTCATTTCATAATGCTTGAATTTCAAGTATAATCATTATTTTACTGATTGTATCAAGGCAGAATAATTATTCGCTATAGATCGTGTACATTAATTTTGGGCGTTACATAAAAGTCGAAGTGTTAGTTACACTATTGCTCAAAGGATTGCAATTAATCAGATATGCAAACAGAGAGGAGTGAGGAAGGTGAAAGTGACCTAATTTGTCTTAAAAAAACAATGGGTACGATTATAATCAGTGGGGATGAGGAGTGAGGAACATGAAGCACACAGGTTATATATAATATCCTAATACATAATTACCTGTATTGATATCACTTCCTCCCGCAAAAGTTGTTGAACTTGTGTTCATGCAATTTGAAGGACTTACACGGATTAACCGTAATTGACTAGGAGAAGCTTGGCTGACTGAGTGGCTTCATTTGCTGCTTCTTTAGTTGGTATATTGTGAGGCGGATTGACTTTTAATTCGTCAATCTGCATGTGTTGCTAGGTCACCCACTATTGGACGGT